GATACTAATAGATTAAATACGATAATCAAACGACATAGATTGTACCAGAGGTACATTACTTGGGGTTTGCAACTCGCATAGTACTGTATGTTGACATCATGTCAAGATCCCATTCAAGTCTCATCTTGTAGATAGCGAGACTGAGGCTACGACCTTCTGACATGATATATATCAATGTTCAAGGTTTGTAATGAAAAAATAAAACTTTTCTTGCCACTATCGTAGTGAAAAATGTAATACATCGAAAATGTACAGAAAATATAGTTCTCGTAATCTGTCATATCGTGAGCAGCTATTTTGATCCACCTGGACATCCTAGTTACCTCAGGCATGCGTATTCGCATTTTTCTGAGTTGGAACGCTTATGCGAGAGCGAGATTGTAACGAGATCTTGGTATCATGTCACCGTAGTTGCAAACCCCAAGTAATGTACCTCTGATTGTACACATTAAAGGTTACGTTTCTAGCACCATGACTAAGACAGAGAACATACTATATCTTATGAGTACTTCTCCACTGTATACACATATTTGGTAATGTCATATTATAACTACTTAGAGCAAAAAAACAACGTGTTTAGAACTACATCCTGGATGCTCTTGTCATTTTGTAGTTTATATGTTTGGTTCTTCTTTACTCAAATAGGTCAAGTGTTATCACAGAAGTCAAGCCAATTCTCGGGATGTTGTGTTTCGATGTCAGTTTCATACATGTGCCATATCACAGTATCACCTTGCCTTTACCAAATATGAATTAGATGATGCTTCTAAGGGTATGTAAATCCATATTGGTCAATTGACTTATCAAAATGGAAAGTTTACTACTACTGTACATAGTATTCTTTGCTGTCATTAAAAAAGTTCAAACCATACATATGTCATATCACAGTATCACTGTGCTTTTACTTATTATGAATTAGAGAAAGTATTTAAGGTTATGTACCTTCATATTGCTGAGATGACTATTCAAAATTGGAAAGTTTACTTACTATAAATAAAAATAATCGTTGCTGTCTATACAAGTTTAAACAACTAGCAAAGTTTTTACAAAGAGAGTTTTTCCATACACTGGCTATGTTTTGCTGATATCTCAGCTGTGAAATTAGACAATCTTATATTGCTCCACGAATTGAATACACTTCACATAAGAAGATTGTTTTGCTACAACTCATAAAAAGTACAGTTACTATTTTAAATATTTCCCTTGTTGCCATTTACCTGTATTTGAGTGTCTGTTTCACTGGACTAATGATTTGTAGATCCCAAGTTCAAATCCTAGCTCAGGTTGAAACTGAACAAGGGGTTGACCCGTACCCTCAGTGAGTACCGTATGCCAAAAAACTCATTTTGGTTGGGAGGGGGGTGCTGGCTGGGAGGATAACAAAAAAACCTATGTACATGTATGTTTCTATACCAAACCCTTTTTGACATCTTGTGTTATACATGAAATCAAATGTGAAAAAGAAAAAAACAAAGATCATAGCATGGTAGTGGTGTCAAAGCATCTCCTGACATGTGAAAACGTGAGAGTATATTTTTTGGGTATTTCCATGCCATGCAATGTATGTACACATTTTATGATGATTAATTTTGATGAAGTATGGGTATCTCAATGGGTAAATCATTTGATTTTTGCAGAAGATAAATGGACTGTGACTCTCACACATTACGTAAAGTCTCACAGTGAGTAGAAAATCACCTGTTGATTGTTTCTCCACAGATTCCAGGTTTCCAGATTACTGCAAGTTGGAGTTGATTTTCTCAGACACAGCAGAGAAACTGCAGGGTCTAGAGGGAATTGTGAACCCACATGTACCAGTGGATCACTCGGACACAGCCCTCATGAAGTGGGATTCCTATGAAAACTTTGATAAACATGAAGAGGACAGTGAACATGAAGGTGACTGGCTTATTGCAAATACAGTTTTTGCTATATTTAGTTGATTGGAATAGTCTTACAGAAGTATAATGAATTATTAAATTGTAGTAGTTCCATTAGCAAATTGGTAGCTTGTTACCTTCCCTTCACACTTTTTATAATTGCTCGACTAGTAGACTGATAGTTGATTAACTGGTAGACTGGTTAGTTGATTGACTAGTTGATTGGCAGGTATTCAACTGACTGGTAGTTGATTGACTGGTAGAGGATGGATTGATGTGAAAACTGGAATCTGATTGGTAGGCAGACTGGAAAACCTATGTCTATTTCCTTACTTCTAGTTGAGTCATTGGTAGTCTTATATGTTTTGTAAACGATTAAATTCAGTGACCAGTAGTTGATTGGTAGATGTTAAATCAAATAGTTGATTTTTGATTTATTGTTATACTGGTGATTGTCTTCAATTAATGGTAAAACAAAAATTAACTACACATCTTGTCAAATTTTTGCTATGCTGTTTGTTTGGAAAGACTTTTCACCACCAATTTTCTCTTTTCATCACAAATTCACAAAATAGTCCTGTTTATATTCTGCACTTTCAGAAGATTAGAACAAAAAAATTAAAAATTGAGGTTCATTTCCTTAAACATTGAAGAATATAAAAAAAAAAGTGCAGTCAAATTTAGGAGTGAAAGTCTAGTGGTGAGAAAGTTTAATACATCAGATGCCATTTTTCGCATTCACCTTGGCTATCTGTGGTGTATTACGACTAACTTCTTTCATTTTATATTGTAGCTTATTTCAATGAATCTGATGGCAGAGGTGAAGTTCAAGTTATTCATACCCACGGCCCTGTAGATGGGAGTCTTTATGCACAAATACCCAAGAAAGGTGGTAAACACAACATACCCAATGGTCCTGAGACGCACAGACATGGTGGACCCGGAATGACCTTAGAATTAGACCAGGAAGTCAATGATTTTATGGATGGTCTGAAAATTGAAAACAACCAAAATGGACCAGGCCCACAAAGTAAGAGTCTGGTGCCTGTCCAGTCTCCTACAGAAACAATCAAAAGACGTGTGCATAAGGAAGGACCAAAGCCGAACACATTAAAAACCTGGTTCAGTCGGCAGCAACCGAACACAACATGGAACTATACACATAGAACATTAGACAGAAATAAACATGCTAATAGTCTGGATGATCAAATATCTCAACCGCCATCTCTAGAAAAAACGAAGCAACAGCAAAATCATACTAGTCCACAAGCGTCAGGCAATTTTTCGCAGGATAATCGGAACTACCCTAGGGAGCACAGCTACCGTGGCTTCCGCGATGATGAGAATCCATATGCTGAGATTCAGGATTACCCTCATTCTTCTCCAACATCTTCCATGACAAGTGGTCCACCGCAGACGAGTTCATTCAGTTCACTGAGTGAAGTAACAAATCCAACTTACGGTGCTTCATCCCAGTCCAGTGGGAAAATGATAAACAATGTCAGTCCTACTGAGCGAGATTTTGCTATGCATGGCTATAGTAATGTTGACGGTCAAATACCCAATCAGTATAGGAGTGACCAATCATATGGTGCTCCTGGACAAACTGAACACCACTCTGGTCATTCTGGACATTTTCATCGTACAGAGCAAATTGGTCCCATAGAACACACTCACAGAGTTCAAGGTCAACTTCCTGATCATGTTCAACACCACAGTTCCCATGATCATTCAACCAATATACAACATATGCACCATCAAGGTCAAACAACAGATGGTCAACATGGCAAACACCTTGTGGGTGTCCATCACCATCATCGCCCAGGACAAGTTACTGACTTGCAGCATGTTGGTCAGCCTGGTCATTCTACCCAGGGTCAGGGTCATTCCAACCAGCATGCAACTGGTCAGCATATAACTCATCCAGGTCAGCACATCTCTGGTCAACATGTAATTCATACTGTACAGTCTACTCCTGGACAACAGTCAGACCATCACAACATCTCCGATCAGCACTTAGGCCATCATGTCCAGTCCAGTCCTGGTCATCAGACAGCCCATTCGGTGCAGCATCCATCTGGTCAGCAGGTGATCCATCCATCCGGGCATGACATCCATACTCTACAGTACACTACAACAAATGAAAGAACATCACCAGCTGTTGCTACCGGTAACAATCACACTCGCCATCCAACAAAGCCAGCCTTTTCAATGGATCAAACTTTAAATTCAGATTCTGAAGTTTATCCCTATCATCTACACCCACCAGGGGCTGAGGTTGGATCGCCGGGTCACGTGACAAGTGTCTCCCCCGGATACAATACAGAGAACGCACAAACCACCAGGGTTGTTCAAGTGCATTCATCATCTGACCACAATCAACCAATTGGTGTGATTGACGTACACCACCTGGCCAATCAGAGCTCACCAGCCAGTTCGTCTGGGGTCCATCCTTTACAGAGTCAGTTGGCTGCAACTAATCCCCCAGCTGTTGGGAGTCAACGACCTAATATCAATAACTCGCAGTATGGTATGCATACTAAGTATGAGATTAAACATCAGCATCAACCAGAACATATTGCGTCTGGACAACATTCGCCATCAAAGCAGTATGACCAAATTTCACCGCAGCGAGTTATTGAACCACAAAAGATGTCACAACAGGCTATGTACCAACAACAGAAACAGCAACTGGAAGGTCATCCACAGCAAGAACCGGCTAAATCACATACAACAGATGACAACCTGACTTGGCTGGAAAAGCAGAAGAAAAAACTTGAAGAGAAGCGACAGCAGAAAAATTCTCCTCCATTGGAAGACAGTCAAAGACAACACTATGCCACTCTTACAGATAAAAGCCATTACCCGATTGTATCAACCAGTCAACCCGCCGGTCATCAACATCAAACTGTTACTTACACATACACAGAAGAGCAGCACAAGCCAATGACCTCTCAAAACAGTAATCCAAGTGATTCTTTCAAAACTCAAGTCAGACCTAGTGAATCAAAACTTACCAGTCAAGGGAACCTCCAGTCGCCTTCTAATGTTAATTTTGATGATATTAATTTGGATGATTTGGAAGCGTTAGCGTTGTCGTTACAGGACTCTACAATGCAACTGAGTCCAGGGAATAGTTATAATGGCGGACCAACTTCACCATCACTAGTCCATCCTTGGGGTAAACAATCAACAACAACAACAACAACAACGTGGCATAATCAAAATCGACCTGGGATGCAGCCAACGCCTAAGAGAAGTGAAGGAACAAACAACAGTACAAGACCGTACTCACCTTATGAGATGAACACAAATGTAACAAAGTTACCACCTCCGAGTCCTCGCCTGGGAAGAACCGATTCTGGTCGAGTCTGCACACCTACCTCCATGGATAGTACTGTACCAAACAGAGAATTACAGATTGCGGAAGAACAAGTGGTGTCAAATCCTTATAACGGCTTGTTATTCTCACAACCGAGAACGATACAACCTGTTGAAGCACCAGTCACCGCCTCACCGTTCCACGGAAGATTGTTTTCAGCACCACCACCTTCATCAAGGTAAACAAAAACATGAATTATTTCCAAGGAATTTCTACAAATACACTATTAATTTCACTTCTGACTCATGAGCCATGGCCAGTGAATATCATTATTATAAATATATTCAGAAAAAATACATTTATTGTTTAATATTTATTTGCAACTTTATGGTGAAATTATGTTAATAAGTGATACTCTGTTCATTTCAAGTAATGCGCTAACGTCGTTGATCAAACATTTGCCACAAAAAACGGTTGGTTTGAAGTTGAACCTTAACTCCTTTCTTTTTTAATAGTTTAATGTTGAAATATCAATTTTTTTGAGAGGAATTTGTATTTGAGATATCGTTACTTTGACATAATTGACCATCGTCAAATGTGTACAACATATTACTAGGCAAAAAATACCCAAGACGCAAAAAATACTTTCACGTTTGTGCAATCCCAAATGACGTTTTGACGCCACATACAATGTTTGATTATTCCATTTTTTGGTTCAATTTATTGTATAATACGAGATCTCAATAAACAAGAAATAGTCTATTATAAAATAAGGAGGTTCACTTATTCCTGTTTAAACCATCTACTGCTGAGGTAATTTTTACCCATTAATTTTCGTTAAACATGGAGGCTTTTACCAGGCAATGTGTTAATTACATTTTTAGTAAAATTGATCATTATTAATAAATGAATACAAGATTACACCAATAACAGTATTTCCTACAGGATTCAGATTAAAAAATTTAAATTACCATGGAAAAAGTTATACATGTTTAAGTCCTATTCTTCTTACTCTTGCAATGTTCTTTGATCTCAATCTTTGGAATGGCTTTTTATGTCGAGACTGTTATGAAGTCTATGTTAACTTCTGATACAACTGTCTGTGCATGTGTAGTCCCATATCTATCATAAATGTGGGTGATCACAGCTGTTATACACTGTCACTAATACTATCTGTAATTCCTATGCGGTATGGCATAAAGTCATGTGGAACCATTTCTACTTACATTATAGCATATTATTTAAATGAAATGAACACAAAAAGTTGATGTTTGTCATTTTTTCTGCCAATATCCTGGGGCAGCATTCCAGACATTTTTATGATTTTTCTATAATTTGTTAATTTCAATCAAAGTGTTCATAGTGTGTCTTTGGCAACAGGTCTTGAACAGCTTTTAAAAATTATTATAGAAAAACTTATAACAGCGTCCGGATTACTTTCGGAAATTCCGTCGCGTTTCGGAAAGTTTTAATTTTCACAACTTTTGAATATTTATTTGTGCTTTTAGGTTAGTGAGGAGGTTATAATAATTTTTCATTTCACTTTAACTCTGTTTTTTTCACCCCTCAGACCCCTTTGAAAAGTCACTTCTGGCCATTGTAATGGCCACTATTTTTTTAATGGCCAGATTATCAACCAGAACTTTTTTAATGGTCAAAATATTGACCAGTATTTTCAAACTGGTAGTTATAATGACCACTACTTTTACACTG